AACAAAGGTCAGTAGGTCAAAGACCTTGTTTGCTTGATGCATTGATGGATTTCTCTACAAAATGGAAAAGTCCTTGTTCTAAAGTCCCTCTAAACTATTTTCTCCAAATACAAATCATTTTAGTGTTGTTTTAGCTGATTTTACAAAAATAATATTGAGAACATTTTGTTTTGAAAAAAGGTACTGGTACTTACATTCTATTCCCTGTCTTTTGGTCTAATCCTTGTGTTAAGAGCCTGCAATTTTTTTTTTTTTTTAATCTTGCTTAACCTTTGACATTTACAGTTTTAGTTTGTTACTTTCTTTAATAGCATCTTTTTTTGTGTGCAATCCAATTTTGGACTGATCAAAAGTGGAAAACCACTAAAAATACAAAACTATCGTCCTAAGGAGAAAATAAATAATAACAAAACAAGATAAGAGCAACACGAACCAAAGGCCAGGATGGTTCTTGTGAGACCCACAGGGTAGGAACCCTCTTTTCTGCCCCTTCTGCCAAGGTGGCGTTCTTGTGTTTAACAGCTATTGATGGTTTTCCCCCTTCTTTTTTTTCTTACTATTTTTCCCCATCAGAACTTCAAAGCATGCAATAAACTCCTTAATTTGATCTAGTCAGACACCATTTAAATGTTATTGTATACAGGGGGAGTGGTTGCCTAGTGGTTAATCAAAGCACACCATCTTTGGCTGCAAGTACCAGGTTTAAACACCATAGAGTACTACTAAGGGTCGCCCTTAGGAGACCCTTTAGCCCCAGATTGCTCCCTGGGTGCTGCCAACTGCGTTCTAAGGGATGGATCATGAGCAGAAGACAAGCTGCTTTGTCATTTATGTTTGCAATAACAAAGTGGATTATCGTTGTCCAAATATTAAGAGTTTAAACCTTTAAGATACTATATTTTCTTATTTTGAATGCTTAATTTTTAACTCCAAACATATTGTATCTTTTCTTTAAAACTGCAGAGTAGAAAGTGTTTTTTTTTTCAGCCAATTTATTCAAATAATCATAATCAGTTTTATATACAAAACCATTGATTGTATGTTATTTTTAATGATTAATCCATTTTTTTCATAAATAAAAATCCTTGATTCTTTATGTGAAATGATAATAATGGACAATTGTTTAACACATGTGACAACTTAAGATATAGTTTAAGACTGATCAAGACTGTTACCATATAATACTCACATCATGTACACTGTATTTATCTGTACTTTGCAGAGACTAATAACTTGCTAAATATGACAAGAGCCTTTTTTCCTTTTGAATTTATTAAAAAGATTCCATCCACGGTAGTTCAGTCTGGCAACAACATTCTCAAAAAAAAAAAAAAAAATACAGTTCATAAAAATAAAGTTTACACCCCAAAAACAGCACTGAGCAAAATACCTAAGTGAAGAGGGATAAATAGAAGTCAAAACTTAAAAAATACAAAAATGTTACCTAACCTAATTCCATCTGAAAATATTGCAAATTGATCAACTTTTAAACTTTTTGGTCAGGAAGCTTTGAGTTTTAGAATCGTTTGAAAAGATTTTATGTTTTCCTATGTTAGAAAATACAAACTAGAATCTACAGATGATGCCTACATCTGCCGAATTAAAATAAAAATGTACACAGTAGAAACAGCTGGTAAATACCACATCAAATGCAACAGTGCTTATTTCTTTAAAAGGAAGCTTTGTAGTGTTCACTTTTTCTTTTTATTTAAAAACAGAGAAGGCAAACTAATCTTAAAGCTGCTCACTGCAAAAACAGCACACTGACCACAGAACAGAAAAATGAGACACCTGAAAGAAACAATAAAATACTTTATGGCTTTCATTGAATAAAGATTCATTTGCTTTGGAAATATTTAAGAAATAAAAAAATGCTTTGTATTCTTCTGAATACAAACTGCCTTTGGTGACACAAAACAAATAAAAGCAAATTGCGCAAATATTAAAATATTTTGTTCCCAGTTTTAACTGATTTCCAACTATTATTTTTTATTGAAGGAGGAAAAAATACATAAAAATGTGTTTAAAAAAATCCCCCCAACCCCCTTGTGTAGCTGTGTGCAGAACAGTATGATTGGTGAATGCATGTGTAAGGTGACGCTGCAGGAGGATTTGTGCTATGAGAAAAAAAAAAATAATTAGAAAATTGTCCACTGAAAAAAAAAGAAAGTTTTCTCTTTTTTTGCCAAAAATAAGAGAATCTAAACTCTCTCTATATGTTTGATAAGGCACAGAGTTCATTAAGGCACTAAATGTAGGTGCGGTGACATATTTAAGGCACAAATGTGATGGAAATGTCCGGTTTTGAGGCTCCAGGAGGAAATGTCCTTCTTGAAGTGATGAAATAATTTCAATATTCCTCCTTCCTTTCACTCCTCTTCTACTCTAAGTTGCTCTGAGCATCTGCCAGCAGCTCTGGATCGAAACATTCAACCGGACAGTGGATGTTCTGAAAGAAAATAAAAATAATTAGATGGTAAGTTTTAATCTTTTCAGGAATAAGAGACCAAAAAAAATGTAAAGCAGCAAAATTAAATTTTCTGCTGCCAAATTTTTACTATATTTTATTGTCATTGTGTATACACTCAGTTTATACAAAGCAAAATATTTTATTAGTCTTTAGTCTTTTGAAAAATACCCCAAAACAAAAAATTTGTTTCCCATTCATTTTATCAAATTATTGCAATTCTTAAATTCAAAAATTCTATCTTATTCTCACCAGTTTACGTAGAGCATTTTCTCTGTAGCGTTGGAAGGCATCTAAGCCACCCGGCTGCAAAACCTCAGCTTCCACGTTGGTTTGTCCTCCAGGCCTTCTGCAGTTCTCGCATCGCCAACCCTTTACCAGGAGTCAAAGAACACACATTTGATACTCAAGTAAAAACTACCTAAACATCAAACACAAATTTCACACTAAAATTAAATAAAAATAAAAATTTTAAAGGGTGTTAATCTATCTACCTCTTGTGTATTCTTTAAATCTAAGCCAAAGAAAAATCCAGCTAATGAATAGTATGAAAGTTTAGTTTCCTGTTAAGGTTTTGAACAATACAAACTGAATCATATAAATTCAAATGTAGAATTAAAAAGTCGTGTCTTTCAATCAGAAAATGAAACAAGCATAATTGCTAAGAGCTTGTTAACAACATTTTGTTGTGTTGGGTTTTTAAAAATACTGTTTATTAAAGTACAATGCTTTAGGACAATTTAAATGAATTTAAAATAATCTGCCAAAGACAAAGATTTCAAACTTTGTCACTAAATCATTAAAACATCTTGTAATGAAGCAGCTCCCCTCTTGTTCCTAACAGAAGTAATAACTGACAAAAATCTTTAGGATAATGAAGAGTAAAGCTTGGCCAAAAAAACTCTAAATTGGGCATCTTTCATAATAAACTAAAGAATAAAATATAAATTCTTCCAGCTGAAGGCAAATTAATAAACAGTTTGGTAGACTTTTTTTCCAACTGGCATTCACAGGATCATAACTTTTAACATTGTCTTTTATTCTTTTGTTTTTACTTCAATTGCACATTGCAAAATACCCTCACATATTTACCAAGTGTTAATCAGACACTACAGTGAGGCAGCCATGATGCAATCATGCAAGAAACAGAGACCTGGAAAATGCAGTCATATGTTGCTATAGTGACTCTTTTTTTTTAAAGCAGGGCTTTGAGCCAAACTCTTTCCAAAATGAAACAAACTGCATCCTTTTATCTGTGTTTATTAGAGTTCATAACTGTGGGAGAGGTAACACCAAAAGGTGAACTGATACAGAATAGAGATAGACTGATGCGTTAGCCTGCCGCTATATTTTTGGAGATATTAACGATATGTGCATGCATTCATCAATTCATTAGTGCATGAAGGAGCCATGCTTTGAGATCACATTAAGGCGCATGCATTGCTTCTCCCTCCATTTGCTATCCATTATTGATACTTTTTCTATAACATTGATTCTATATTTGACCTGTGCAAGATTCTTAATCAACATAAATATCATGTAAAATTGAGGAAGAGAAAGCAATATTGACCTAAAGTATAAAACAATCAGCAGCACATATCCTTATCATTTACACTGATATCAAAATAATAGTTTTCAGTCTTAAAAAAGTCTTTGAAATATGAGAATATTAAGCTGAAATAAACTACCTGAATAATAACAAAGTGCAATTCTTTTGCATTGGCATCTTTGATGAAGCTACACAGATGAGGCAGTAGGGCCTTCTTACCTGTTGTCCTCCATAGCATGTACATGTACAGATAGCACCCATGTAGTCCTTCTGCCACTGGCTTCCAATCTGGTACATTTTTCCGTCATCATAACAAGTTGACTCATCTTAGAAATAAAGCACAAGAAAAAGGATTAATTAAGAATTAATTTCTGGCGGGATAAAGCCAACAATTGCGACAACAATTCAAGCTTCTTAACAAAATATAACGCAGTAAGAGTTAATATTCTGTGTACTTACGTGGTTCGCATTTGAATTCTCCTTTGCCGTTGCCCAGGCAGGTGCAGCTCATCATATGACCGTTCTCAGCACGGCGATCCCACTTTTCTCCAATGCGGTAATTATTGCCGTTGTCATGACACCACTCTGTAAAAGGGAGCAGCAGCAAATAAAGCGAGAGAGAGAAAAAAAGGACGATAGGGTAGCGGTGCAGAAGTGGATAAAGTGGGGAAGTAAAAGACGTTTGATTATATATGTGAGAATTTGGCTAAAGAGTTTCTCTCTATATCTGTATTAAATGCATATAAAACATATGGAAAAAGTGTGTGAGAAATAAATTAATCTGGAATAATTATGTTAAAAAACAAAACAAATTTCATTCCTCTATGGAGCAGATATAATCCAGTGATTCTCAAACTAAACCTGGTTGACGATCCCAGTTCCTGGTATTGTCATGTTAGCTATAGACTGTTATGGACAATACAAGTAACTGAGTTTTTATGCTTAGAGGGAGCAGATGGACTGGAATGGGCGCGCTCATTCCTGCAGCGCATAGAACATTCCCCAGTCTGCTTCTATGGCAATTCATTTACAGCTAAGGAATTTATAATAAGTATATTTCAAGTTTATTGTTATGTGCTTTTATAAATTCCTTTTTTGTAAAAGCCATAGAATTATTATTCTTTTTTATAATTCTATGTTAAACTACCAAATTTTTGCAAAGCATTGCAAAGATGGGTTAGTAAGCCACTCACTGGATGAATCACACCTAAAGTGACCACTGCCGAGCCCCATGCATCGGCACCACAGCTTGAAGCCAGTCTCAGACATGCGCTCCCACTCAGAGCCCACTTCATGGTAAGTGTGTGTAAATGTATCGTAGCACACGTCTCCTCTGGGGGTAACAGGAAGGTCATCTGGAACTACAGGAGGAAAACATAAATGTGAACTTATGCAGGGTTCTCAAATTTCCGGATGCAACACGTTATAAAAAGTTGTGCTCTACCTGCATTTCCAACAGTGACGACTTCTTCCAGAACTTTCTGTTTGTCTCCATCAGTTACGGCTTCGACAACAACATTGTAGGACGCACCAGACGTCAGTCCGATCAGCGTGGCGCTGTTGGAGGTGCCTGGAAGACGCATCTGTGTAGAGAACAAGAAAGTTTAGATGCTAGCCCTCCTTTGCACACGTTTATATCACTAGAAAGAAAAAATCTGCAGGAATACCTGAAGGCCTCCTTCTTCCAGATCTGTTAAGGGGTTACAGGACACTTCATATTCTGTGGTTTCAGGGACAGGCTGCCATGAAATGGTCGTCATGGTCTTTGCTTCTTGGGGAAGCTCTGTTTCGTTGTCAGGGAAACCAAAAGCTAGACCAGGCAAAGGGGTTTCGTACACCTACAGGTTCCAAATTTGGAAAAGAAGAAAATGGTTTAACAGAAGTTTTTAAGAAGGAAAAGAGAATAGATTTCTAAATAGCTAAAAAGAAAGCAATATTTATTGTTTATTTTACATTTTTTTGACAGTATATTTTTTTGCAACAACACTTTTAGATATTGGAGAGCAACTACCTGATGACTAGAACCAGACAGTTTTAGATTAGTAGCCCATTACTGATGACCCTCTAATTGGAAACCCCAAAATTTAATATATATTTACTATTAGTGAATTACCAAATATAAGGCGAAATACCATGCTTCTGAGGAAGATAACTTCTACCTTAAATTCATGAAATTAGGTATTCTAAAAGTTTTTACACCCAAAAAAGTTTTTACATAACAGATCAATACATATCTGTAAGAGAGAACATTTTTAGTCTAAGGGGGGTAAAGGATGGCAGGAATGTTTTATGCTTTTGGAGATTTTAATGTGTTATAATGAGATTTAGAAATTGTGTCAGCCTTCTAAAACCCTCAGAGTTACGGATAAAGAGCTATGTTTTTAAAGTAGTACACACAGTGATTGCTGTTTGAGTAGGGCTAGGCATGCTAACAGATGCAAAAATGCTAAAAACAGTATAAACTGTCAATTTTGCTATAATGCTGCTTTTGCTTTAAAATGATACAACCAGATTTCTCACTTTCATGTTGCTTATGCTCCATTTAAGATTAAAGAGAAAACAACAACAAAACAAATAAAAACATGTTTTAAAACTGTAGTTATTTAGATATGTTATTGGTCAGCTTTAAATCAAAACATATCAAAGGTTCAGGTTAGGACAGTAATTAAAACATTACACACCAGGGGTACTCGGTTTCCATCAGGACCAGCTACAGGAATATAAATCAGGGGCTCTCTGAGAGTTGGTCTCTGGCCTTCCTTGGGTCCACCATAGGGACTAGGAAGTCCAACATTTGGGCCCAAGTTCTGGTACTCTGTATAAATGTGCTGACCATGCTGGTCCGGTTGGGTCTGTCCACTTGTGCCGGCCAAGTGGACGGTGTTTGAGTCAAAACTGATCATGGAAAAAAACAAGATAGATGAAAATTAGTCTAAAAATGGAACAAAAAAGTGTTTTAACCAAGTAACAATGAATTGTTTTTGCATGATACATTGAATTCCTCACATTTTGTCATTGAAGCGCTCTGGAACATCAAGAATGTCAATGGTGGGCCGATGAGGAACAGCAAGTTGCGGCAGTTCAGGTACCAAAATGTGATGACTGGCTGGTTCTGATTTTGAACAAAACACATATGTTTAAATAAAGAAACGTAATCAGAGCATTATAAAAAAATATATATATATATATATATATATATATATATATATATATATATATATATATATATAATGGCCCTAACCCTAATCTGCTCCAGTAACATTTAACCTAGTCTAAATGTTTAAATATATATTTGAAGTAAAAATATGATAAAAACGTAAAACCAAAAAAAAAAAAAAAGAATTCAGGAGAGAGTTTCTTGTTTGTCTAAATATCTATTGTTTGACTTATATATTAAGGTTAAAACATTGGCAATTAATTTTTATATCAGTTACTCAACAATCCACCAGAGGGCAGCAGAGTCCTGATGAAGCTACTTTCTTTGATGAACATAAATGTTATTTTAATAACAGTCATTTTGTTCATGGGTAAGGTTTCCATAGACATTACAACACAGCATAGAAGGCTGGGAAATGTTGACTCCATTTGAGTATTTTGTTCAAAATCTCTTTAGACTTGATTCACTAATAACTGTTATAATAAAATAAAAATATGAAAGCTTACTTTGTCTATAATAAAGAGGACAATAAAAAAATCTCAACCTTTAAGCACTGAGATGTGTTGACTTACGCGTTCTGGCTTTGCCCACAAGCGGTTTGCTTCTCAAAATGTTCTGCAGTGCTACAATGTTAATAACATATTCCGTTCCTGGTTTAAGACCTACAATCAAATCAAAACACATCATCAAATGTTATTTTGTTTTTTACATTTACCGCATTTAGTAAAGTGAATATAGAGTTTGTATTTGCATTTATTTTTTTCCATCTCACCATTGATGGTGGCGGAGCTCTGGCCTGCATGAGGTCTAGGAATGAGCTCTTGAGGCAAACCCCCAGCCTCCTCATAAGTGACATAGTAGCCGGTGATCCTGGGACTGAGTGATGGCTCCCACATAAAGGAGATGCTGGTAGGATTCAGTGAGGTAAAGCGAATGTTGGTGGGTGGGATAACTGTTGGTTGAGCTATAAAACAAACAAGCAAGATGTTTCTCAGAAAACGTTTGTTTTTTTGGCTATAAACAGAAAATACGAGCCTCTATTCCTATTTGACGACTCATGAGTGCCATCTACCTACAACATAGGCTCTATCTAACAATGTTTTATGTCTTTCCTAAATGTTTTTTGACTTCCTGGAGCTGTAAGAACACAAAGCAGTTTCGTTTTACATCAGTGACAAAACTTAAAAAAATATCAGTTTAAGCAAAAAGTAAATGAAAATATGTGAAAATATTGCTTACGTTTCAGTGCAGGATAAATCACTTACAAACAACACAATTTATAGCCTTAGAATCATAATCAAAGAGAGCAGACATAGCAAGCTGAATGAACATTAAAAGATTGGAAAACTTTTAGTGCAATTATTGAAATATTACACAGAATAAACCCTTTAAAAACTTCTGCACCCTTTCCAAACATTTGGTTTCCCCAAATGTGACCCCGGTGACCCCAATAAACAGTAAGAAACTGGAAGGCTTGATGTAATCTTAATATTTACTGTGAACAAAGATCTATAAACCACAACATTCAGAAATTTGCTTTTAGCATGTTTGTCCATATATATATTATGTGAGGTAAGTTATTTCCATAACTGTGCTTAAATAATCTTGCATAAGATGTTTACAGTGGATCTATAGCTGTGCTATAACACACCCTCTAAACACTGTAATTGTGGAACTCACTGGAGATAGAGATGAAAATCACTGTTTCTTAACTGGTCCACCAAAATAAAGTAAAAACATCTTATTGATTTATTGCAAGTTTTTAGAAGGACTAATGCAATAACTAATGTGCAATCACTATTTAATACCCTGTACAATAACCTGTTTATATGTAATACTCTGTGCAATAACCATATATATAAATACCTATTTATATAAATACCTATTTAATACCTTGTACAGTAACCTGTTAACATTTAATACTCTGTGCAATAAATATATGTATAAATACCTATTTATATGAATACCTATTTAATAACCTGTGCAATAATCCTGTTAAAAAAGAGACTTCAGCTGTTTATATATATATATATATATATATATATATATATATATATATATATATATATATATACATATATACATATACATATATACGTATATATATATATACATACACATGTGAACGCACTATATATACTATATATACCTCATGCACCTTTTTTTTTCTTTTTGACTATTGAGCCAATGTGACAAGTTAATTTCTCAACTGTGAAATTTAATAGTCTACCGGTATCTTATCTTATTTCCTTAAAACCATTTTCAAATATTAGCTTACTTCAGTACATGTATGTACATACAATAAGGAACCATTTCTGCTGAAAAAGGTGTGAACTACCTGTGGAAGCAGTGAGTTCAAAAGGCGAGCTTCGTCCGTTGCCCTTCAGCGTGTAGAGGTTAACCTTGTAAGTAGTGCCAGGCTCCAGACCTACAGGTGGTCATTAACATGTTAGTCTATCTGGGTGAGTCAAACAAATACTAAAAACCATGGTGACTGTACTAATAAACTTTATTTTATTTGATTAGAGAAAGTTGTTTACCTTCCAGAATGTACTTGCGGGATTCAGGGCCGATGGTCCTCTGAATGGGGATGTAGCCTGAAGAGGCGGTGATGGGCGCGGCTTCAATCAGGAACCCAGAGATTGTCTCAGCCTTTGCTCTCCAAGTGAGGGTGATGGAGGAATCTTTAATTTCAGATATACGTACACGCCGAGGCGGACTGATGTCTTCGAGAGAATGAGTGACAGAAAAAGATAATTAGTGGGTGTTATGCCAAAAACTAATTGGTTCTTTTTTTGTGTTGTTTTTTAACGTCAATGTAAAAAACTCACTTTCCAGAGTGGTGACCTCTCCTTGGATTGGTCTGCTGGTGAGAGAGTTCTTCAAGGCATACACATAGACTTCATAGGTTGTTGCAGTCTAAAAAATAGTAAAATAGAAAACTTTAGAGTCTGAGATCCAATATGAAGCTGCAGTTTTACTTCACTTTAGACCCATTCATGTTTGAAAGTATTTTGAAGTGACATTTTTGTGCATTTCTATCTGGTGTCTATTAAAACACTCTCTGATGATTGTTTTCTTAATGGTTTCCAGTGGATTTCATTCCTGCTCACCATGAGTCCAGGGATGTGGACCTGCGTGCTGTCCGGGGCCACACTGATCTCTTTAGTGGGTCCACTCTTCTTCTTTGGGTTTACCACCACACGGTACCCAGTGAGGCCAGGTAGACCAGTTATCAGATTTTCCTGACCAGGCGAAGTCCAGCTCATAGTAAACGATGTTGAGCCAACCTCAGTAAACTGGAGGTTGGTAGGAGGAGAGATAGCTAGATGAATAAAAAAAAGACATAGTAGGAAATAAATGATTCTGTGGCACAAATCAGGACTTTCACATAGGAAAGATTCAATAAAAATGCTCCAAATCCAAATAAATTAACCGTAAATCTTCCCCACCTGTAGCTTGCGTCCCAATCAGAGGAGTACTGGTTGTGCCTCCATGCACGGCAATGACCTTTACTGTATATTCAGTTCCAGGCTGGAGTCCATGGATAACAGCTGACTCAGCATCTCCTCTTGGAGCCGGATACAGCTCTCTCTCTCCTTCCTCTGAACTAGAATACAAGACACGGTAGGACGTAACAAATCCCTCTGGGCTATCCCAGGTGATCCGTAAGGCAGTGGAACCAACGTCTGTAAAGGTAAGGTCCTTGGGACGATCTACATCTAGAAGAGGAAAGAGAATAGTTGTTTGTTTTTTCGATTAAAGTTGAGCACAATAAATAGCTGTTTACTTTTCTCTATAGTATTCAGACTTACTTGTAGCAGCATTCACCACTAGAGGAGAGCTTTCACCGTTTTGACCCAGGGCATTCACACTAAAAATATATTCTGCTGTCGGCAGCAGGCCTGAGAAAGTAAACTCAGTCTGATCTGAAGGGGGAGAGCACAAAACAAAATGTAGTACTGAAATCTCCACTCATATTTACACTACTGAAGCTTTTCCATATTTTGACAGGTTACAACCACTCATTCAGTGCCTATTTGCACCACATATATTAAGGCTCTCCATATCAAAGTGTTTGTTTTTTGCACCATTTTTTTTCTCTAATAATTGATAATTTTCATTTTCTGTCTGAAAAGCTGTACTAAACGAAATTTCGTTT